AGTCTATGAAAAATTGCAGGGTGGGCCAGACATTGTGGAAATTCCAGATGGCATTAATTTTCCTTTTCACTATCAGATTCTTTTTCAAAAAAAATTTTATTGCCATTGTAGAAAATAAGAATGTATCCTTCTAGGGGTTGATTGGAGGAAAATGAAACATTACCTATGGGGTCCTTTGTGCCCTGGCAAAGAGATCATACAGAAGCACATAGGCATCCAGGACCTCCTTGATGAGAAAGACCGGGTCCCTGTTAGAAGAATAGATGTGGAGGGTGGCGTACATATTTCCCTCCAGCCTCCAGGCCTTGGAGAAGAGCTATATCACATAACAGCAAAGCATCCTCAAGAAGCCACACAGAGTGCAGCTGGCTCAGCTCTCCTTGGACATACAAATGCAGACACATATACATATGCGCTCACAAACTCATACTCCCATATACACATAGTGCATAAACATGAACACACATGAACACACGCATACACAAAGCACATACAAATGCACATAGTACACACACACATATAGCACACACACAACATACATAGACTACTTCAGAAGTCATGGCTTATAGTTTTGGTGAGATTAGGAAAGGGAGAGGGTATGAAAACCTGTTGTCATAAGCAACCACTCCAGCAGCTCAGTGCAAAACGCCTTCTTCTAAGGAGTATTTACCTTTAGAAGCAGAGCTTCTCCCTTCTCCCTCCTTCCCTCTCCCTTCCTTTTCTATGTGAACACACTATGGGAAGACAGCCACCTGCCAACCAGGTAGATTGCTCAGATTTGACTATGGGCTCCCCTGATCTCTGTTCCTGACCTCCAGCATCCAGAACTGTCAAAGAAGCAGTCCTTTGTTTGAGCCACGTGGTCTCTATGATGCTGAGCTACACAGCCTGGACTAAATGAGACCGTTGGGATCTCTAGCAGAACACATACAGATCAACATGCTCTAACAATGGGCCCACAGACTGAGCAGTAATTATGCACTGTGGAATCGTGTGTGGGTCTGGGAACTTTTCCACTTCAACCATTTAGTCCCAAGGGACCTTGAATGATTATTTAAATTTCCTCTGCCTGGTTGTCTTATTTTTGAAAAAGAGGTAGTTGGCAGTGATGTGAATGATGGAGGTGGCAGTGGTGGCAGTGGCGGTGGCGGTGGTGGTGGTGACCAAAATGCAGAGGATGAGAAACAAGATGAGAATGATGATGGTACCCAACTTCCTAGGATGCTGGAAAACCCTCAATGATGTTATCTACAAAGATCAACTAGAATAAAGCCTGGACACAAGTGAGCACAGGAATGAGCGTTCTCATTAAGAGGCCAGAGCTGAGTAGTGAGAACTTGGGTTGGGATCCAACCAATCCCATGAAACTGAAAATGTTTCTTCTCTTCTTTGAGCTTCAATGCTTCTGCATTAAAATGAAGCTGTAGACCATCAGACTTTTTATTTAACCTATAGAACTTATCATTTTTTCATCTTAAACTTTCCTTCTCAAAATTGCTATAAACGGAGGCAAAGGCTCAATTTAGCATATGCCATAATTGCTTTACAGGGAGGCCAGAGCTGCAGAACTTGGAGTGACCAACAGGAAGGAAACTCAAGAAAGTCCTCACTGATGGGTGGGGAAATCTCCAGTGTTCGGGGTTATTCTCAGGAGTTTACACATACAAGTTCACCTAATAGCACAAATTAACATTGCAAGTGCTACACTGCATATGCTGTGGAAGACATTGAGGCTCAAAGAAGTGAAGAAACGTTCTCATTTCTGTATGATTGATGGGACCCTAAGCCGGGTCCTCACCACTCAGTTCTTAGAGTACTAGCTTATGTCCAGCCATTATTCCAGGCAGTGCTTGCGGATCAACTCACTGAGGTTGTTCCAAGAAAGGGAGATACCCTTGGTCCCTTCACCAGGGTCTCCAGCCTCAGCCTCAGCCTCAGCCTCAGCCTCAGCCTCAGCCTCAGCC